CTGAAATCAAGAAGACGAAATTAAAGTGTATTTCCAGCCAAAACTTTTTGTTTTGGATAGAGTAAGGAAGAGTTAAAGTGGTTCTGAAGGCTCCAGATTTTTTACCTTCATGTATTCTATGCATGAAAGTAAAACTCCTTCTGTGTGCAGCACTTCCCTTTTCCAATCCTTTCCTGAGCCTCCGATCCAGCAATGTTTTTGACAGCCTTTGCTGTCTAAAGACTCTTCCTCCTCATTGGCTGAGAAGCTAGATTATTAGCTCCCACTGCTGTCAATCACAGCCAGTGAGTTAATGATGAGAGAATGGGGGGTGGTCTTATGGATGCATAGAGCAGCGGCTCGGGAACGAGCATGCAGCAGTGTCCCCAGGGTGAACGGCTTTCCCTGGGGGCACCGCTCAAGGGCGAAGAGCAAGGAGCGCCGGCGGGGACCTGAAAAAAAGAGGATCAGGGCTGCTCTGTGCAAAACTACTACACAGAGCAGGTCAGTATAACATGTTATTTATTTTAAAAAAATCAAAAACAAAAAAGGAAGCCTTAGTGTCACTTTAAAACCTCAGATATGTTTGTATTGTTGTCTCTGCTCCCAGGAAGATTTGTCCTCACTTCCTATATCAGGGTATATCTCACCAGATGGCATACAGATAGCAATAAAAAACTGGGCAGGGATTCTAAACCTCCTCTGCAGTGTTAAAAAAGGAGGTTTTGTTATTCTTTTTCCAAGTTTCAATCTTTGAGAACAGCATTAATCCAACCTCGAAGTGGTGCTGTCTCTACACTGCAAGAGTTAAATGCCTAGGGTTGCAGAAAAAGCACTTTTACTTACCTCACTGGCAGATGGTGCTCTCCTCTACTGCCCTATGCCTCAGCTTGTGGACTGTCTTGGTTCCTTTCCATCCAATATAGGGCTAGTCTATGGGAGTGGATGGTCAGGTAAGAAAATAGCTTTTTCTAGGCTTAAAAGAGCATTTAACCCTTGAAGTCTGGGTGCAGCATCACTACAAAGGAGGGTTTTTGTTTTCCCAGAATTCAGCACCTTTATGAAAAATTAAAAGGTTAACTAACTCCAAATATCCTATCCACTGTTCTAGACTCTGCTACACATAACCGCAATGATGTCCCATGCTGCTGGTAGGGTTGCCGCCTCATCCCTTTGAAATTGAACACATTTTAATTACACAGGTTCTGAGGCTAATTGAATGCAGATAAGGCACCAAATTAGTTTAATTACGACCTTAATCAGCCGTAGAACCCATGTAATTAATATGTGTTCAAGTTTAAAGGGATGAAGCGGCAACCCTAGCTTCTGGTGCAGTGGTCTGTACACTGCTATATACAGCCCTGGAGTGAGCATCCATCATAGTGCTTAGCAATGGCAAGTGCTCATTGGGCAGCACCATCACATGACCCATGCTGACCAATGAGAAGAACCTTTTTCTTCTGAGATACCTTGTTAGAAGAAGAAGCCTTACACGCTCTTCTCATTGGTTAGTAAGATTATGTGGCTGTGATGACGAAGGAGCACATTCCATTGCAAGCATTATCATAGATACTCATCCCATGGCTGCTCCATTGTCAGCACTATTATGTGTCTGGAGTGGCCAGGATATTTAGAGTCCATCTATCTTTTCATTTCTTGTGAAAAGGTGAACCTATCCTTTAAGTAACCAACAGAGAAGAACAGAAAGCAATTTTAGGGGAGGCAAAAATCCTAAAAGGGCTGAAGGCCCATGAAGTAACTAATAAAGTCGGTTTCACATAACTCTGTCTAGCTAGACACGTGCCTCCAGCTCTCCATAAAGAAAAGAGCAGTGTTGTGTTAACTAACTTTTAAATGTCAAACCTTGCCCCACCCCACCTGTCCCCACCTCAATGATCCATGGTTGGGTGATGAGAGTGGTAGGACCAAGCATAATGTTTTTAGAAAACAATACAATTTAGGTAGTGATTCATCTGCCTATTTCCAAGGATCTACCAGTCATTTGGATAAATTGAGAAGTCATCAAGTAGAAAGGTAGTTTTTGCAACTTCATCCATCAATATGTTGACATTGTATCATGTAATTCCCTTAAAGACATTGATTATGATCATAAAGAGAGGTAGCTGCACCAACTAGAGGGAAAGCTCTGCAACATTTCATCATTTTTAATAGTCCAGTCACAATATTTGAGGCCTATCTCTGAGCAAATTATGTAATCTCCCATCTATATTACCTCCCTTTTTCCCCGCATCATTTAGTAATCTGAGTGGAAAAATGCTTCAAAGTCATGACAGTCAAGTGTAATGGTCACAAGTCTTTTGTTAGTGCCTATTCTGGGACTGGAAGCTAGTGATCTAGCACTGCCAGCTGTGCCCACCACCAAGACTTAATTCCACTGCAGTCTTCTGGAGAAGGCCCCACCACTGGACAGCCAATAGGAAGTGTCCATGTCACCTAAGTAATGGTGTCAGGGCTCCGGGTATGACCAGAGGTATGTGAACTGACGCAGGGAAACGCAGGCTTCAGATATGTTATAAACAATATAATTTATTAATACTAACAATACAAAACGCAGTGCAATACTAAAACATAAACACAGTGCAACGAACCAAACCAAACAACCCACAGATAACAATACATACAATGCAAGCGTAGTCAGGCAGGCCGGGTCAATAACAATCGGGCAGGTAGGAACAGGAGGAGCAGGCAGAGAGTAGTCAGGTCATGAGCCGGGTACAGCAACTAACGGGCAGGTAGGTACAGGGGGTCAGGCAGAGAATGGTCGGGGTCACAAGCCAGGGATCAAACAGGAGAAGTCAGCAGAGGTCAGGATCAAGCAGGGTCGGCAACAAGTCAGTCAGGCAGGAACAGGAACAGGAATGCAGGTAACAAGATACAGGGGCCCATGGAAAAACACACACCAAGGCCCAGACGGCAGGTCTGGCCATCCCTTAAATACACCTCCGTAATCAGCTTCAGGTGTTTGGCTGACTGCAGGGTTGAGTCTCTGATTGCTGAGAGCACCCGCTGGCCAGCCCTGGTACTGCAGCCCACAAGGCAGGTGAGTCCCACCATTATTGGCAAGTCCATTCCTGACAAATGGTATCATCGCTATGCAGTACATAGCCTGTGCAGAAAACAGAGCTGTGGGAGGAACCTTAAAGGCCCCACCCCCTACAGGCTGCCTACGGAAAACCACTTGGGGTAGTGCATAGTGGACACCAGATTTCAGCTTTAGTAAGCCACCAGAAAAAATAAATAAATACCCCCGCAGGTTTTAGGTCATAATGTACTAGTATGCACCTCATAGTAGCACAACTGACCACAACTGGTGATGAACAGATCTCCTGATTAGCAGTACTGATGATAAAATTCACATCACTTGGGTCGAATCCACACGTTCATCTAAAAACCTATAAAACTTATAGATTACCTATAACATGTCTGTTTTCTTTACCATTACGTTTTAGGATGGTATTTTCAATATACAATTATTAACAGGGGTTTAACAATCTATTTTGTTAGCATAGCAGTTCTTTTCCAGCAACATTTGTTATCACAATTTCAATTTTTATGAACATGATCCTTATTTCTTATTTCTTATTTCATTGTATCTTGTCTGGTTCATACAATATAGATTTTGATCGTTGAGGGTTACTGTTGTAAAAAATGTGAAACTGTGTCTATTGTGTTTACAGTATACAGATTGTACCGGAGGTCAGTTATAATTCTCTACTTCATCTGCAGGATATGATTCCTTCTTTGTAGCACAGCAGTATGTTCAGATGTTCATTTCAGTTCAATTCTATTGGTCATGTCTGACCTGACTGAAAACAGTAGACTCTGCTTTAAAGTGTATGGAACCCCAAAAATCAAAACTAACCTATTGGCAGCTTATCCTCCTTCACTTATGTTAACACCTTGCACCAATAACCCCGTGCCTCCCGGACAAGGGTATATTTACCACAAGGCTAACAAGGCATTTGCCTAGGGCAGCATTTTTCAGGGGGGGGCAGAACTGCCCCTTGGAAGAAGGGACGGAAAAAGGGACACATGCAGCATGGGGACCTGGTGGGTTTTCGAATGATGCTGTGGGCAGGGGCAGACTGACTATTTGGAAACTTGGGCACTGCCCGAGGGCCAGGGGTCAGTAGGGGGCCCCATGAGATGCGCCTGGTACCTTTTTCATAGTTTTTTTGAGTTTGGGCAAGGACACAGGGGCTGTCAGGGATCCCCGCTGCGCTGGTCCCGGCGCAGGCGCAGTGCGCCACCCTGTGCAGGGACACGGGCACTAGGTCCGCGGCGTTCGGGTTCGCGCATGCGCAGTAGAAGCCGCGCACGCTTGGCACCAATGACAGCGCAGGGCGTGATATTTAAATGGCCCTGAGCTGTCATTCAGTGCCGTCTGGTCTCTCCTGTATCCCTGAACCTGCGAACCTGTGCCCTGTAAGTTACTGACCCGGATTGTACCTGACCTTGCTGTATTCTCCTACTCTGACCCTTGGCTTGCCTGACCTCTCTCCTGGATGCCCCTTATTAGAGCTGACCTTCTGTTGCTGACCTGGCATGTGACCCGACTAATCTCTGCCCGCTGCTTTGTACCTCACTGTCCCCACCGTTACCGACTCGGCTTGACTGACCTCGCATCTGCTTATCCATCCATCCCAACGGGGTCCCCCCCGACCTCCTCATATCAGGCTCTTCCCCGTGGGAGCCCCTGGCGACTACCCCTACCACTGACAGGTATACTCAGTAGCCACGACCTGGTCTCAGGGTACTCCAAGTCCATCCCCACCATCAGGGGCCCTGGTGAACAAGTACTCTGGGGCTTAGATTCCGTGCTCTGGGGACGCCTGATCAGTGGAGTGCTAGTGGTACCGCCGGGCGGTCCGTTACAGGGGCCCTATGATCCCCTATTGCCCGGGGGCCCCATGAGTTGTCAGTCCGCCCCTGGCTGTGGGTTTCATGATGGTGTATGCACAGCCTGACTCTCGTTCCTGGGGATGTCCGGAGCTGTGAAGGTGAGTGTCTTTTTCTCTCTCGCCATGGGGGATGGTGGCTGGTGTATGGGGGGCAGTGGTAGTGGAAGGTTCGGGTGGAGGGCAGGAGTGTTCTTGGTCAATGTCAGGCTCTTTCTGCAGGGGGGGCACCAATTTTTGTGTTGCCTAGGGCAGCACAAAAAACCTAAATACACCACTGCCCCCGGACCTTTAAGGGGTTTCTGATGCCAGGAGGTGGGGGTGAGGTTTATGGTCATGTGACTGCCGTGATTGGCTGTCAGTGGTCACATGATCAAAAAGCTCCTGATCACAAGTAGAGATCAGGAGCTTTCCATTTTCTGCCAGTAACTGTGCCTGGAACATGCAGGGCATGCGATCTCGGCACAGTTCTGTTTACATTTTGGTACACATATAGGCCAACACGCCGAGATATATGCGTATCACCGATGTCAACAGGTTAAGGAACAGGTTAAGGAACTTACTTTGTAATTAAGGCTTTCTCTTCACCTTTTAATCCTGTCAGCAAGGAACAAGCCCACTTGGGTGACAACGCTCCCTTACTGTGTCTATGTAAGAGCAGAGTTGTCATCCTTGGAAGCGGGTTCTTGTGGGACTATATGCAGATGTGATGACACTCAGCATGCTTACGGGTCAACTAGACTTCCTGCATGATTCATTCATTCATCATTTTCTTTAACAGCTCTATTTACAAAACCGCTCTCTCTCAACATCAGTGGTATTGGCAATCACCCACAGAGCCAAGCAGCACCACGTTCTCTGACACACCAAAGAGGGGATATTTATTGTGGCAATATATACTGTATATGCAGTATCCAACAACTAGGGAGATGGAAATGGTAACAGTCCAGCAAACAAATATATAAAACAGTAGCAAATAGGGTATACAGTTGGTAAGCAAACAAATATACTGTATACACCACAGCAATCAGGGTAATCCGGGTTGATAACAAGACAATGGCCCAGAGAATGACCCCTATATTCTATACTAGAGAGGGTCCTGCCTAAGGGACAATGATACAATACCAGTCTGTCAGTCTGTATTAAACCTCTTCCCTGCTGACCAGAATACCGGGCCCCAGATCACTGTGTCCCAAGCAAATAATAATGTTCCTCTTTAAAAGGGTGCAGTAGAATTTGTCTGGTGGTCTCTTACCAATTCCTGGGGTGACAACTGATCTCCTTCTGTTCTCCTTTGACAGCTCAGCAAAGTCAGCGGCAGCAGAGTTCTATCCAAAAATCAGGCAGCAGCGCTGGTCAGCAACAGTGGCGTTCTTCCCAGTGATCAGGTGTCAGCACTGGTCACAAGCAGTGGAATTCTTTCCAGTGATCAGGTGGCAGCACTGGTCAGCAACGGTGTCATTTTGGCCAGTGAGGAGGTGGCAGCACTGATCACCAACAATGGCATTCTTCCTAGTGATCAGGCGGCAGGACCACTCAGCAATAAAGGTGTTCTTCTCAGTGGTCAAGTGGCAGCACCGGTCAGCAACAGTGGCATTCTTCCCAGTGATCAGGTGGCAGCACTGGTCACCAGCAGTGGCATTCTTCCCAGTGATCAGGTGGCAGCACTGGTCACCAGTAGTGGCATTCTTCCCAGTGATCAGGTGGCAGTACCTGTCAGCAACAGTGCTATTCTTCCTAGTGATCAAGTGGCAGTACCTGTCAGCAACAGTGGCATTCTTCCCAGTGATCAAGTGGCAGTACCTGTCAGCAACAGTGCCATTCTTCCTAGTGATCAGGCAGCAGGATCGATCAGCAACAAAGACGTTCTTCCCAGTGTTTAATGGCAGCACCGGTCAGCAATGGTGGTGTTCTTCCCAGTGATTGGGTGGCAACACCTGTCAACAGTGGTGTTCTTTCCAGTGATCGGGTGGCAGCACCGGTCAACAACAGTGGTGTTCTTCCCAGTGATCGGGTGGCAGCACCGGTCAACAACAGTGGTGTTCTTCCCAGTGATCGGGTGGCAACAAAGTTCAACAACAGTGGTGTTCTCATGCACCAAGAGCTATCCACTTCCCCTTCTCTCTGACCCCCTGATGCAATGGCATAATGTTCTGATAACAGCTTACAGCACAGTCTACCTCCCACAATGTCCTCACCACATCTGCCTCAAGTATGGGAACAAACTTTTCTTTTCCTCTCCACAGAGCCCCTATTCTGTTAATATGTGTAGTTCTGTTGCCAATCTATATTACAGGTTCAGTCTGTCTGGCAACTAAACCCCCCCAAGTGCTAGTTGCCCCTAGCAGATGCTGTCTTGCCCACAATGCACAGTGTCTCATTTTCCATCCCTGGTGGTGGGTAGGGCTTTCCTCCAGTTCTTCCTATGGCTGCATAAAGTCTTGTAGCTTGAAAGGAAGAAAGGAAGTGCAGGGCAGCAGCAAGCATAGTAGACAAGTCCCTGTTGCTAGATAGAGCACTAAGATAGACAGAGAGATAGGTAGATAGATAGATAGATAGATAGATAGATAGATAGATAGATAGGAGATAGAGAGATAGAATAGATAGATAGATAGATAGAGAGATAGATAGATGGAATAGATAGATAGATAGAGAGATGGAATAGATAGATAGATAGATAGAGATAGATAGATAGATAGATAGATAGATAGATAGATAGATAGATAGATAGATAGAGAGATGGAAAGATAGATAGATAGATAGAGATAGATAGAAGATAGATAGATAGATAGGAGATAGAAGATGGAAAGATAGATAGATAGATAGATAGAAAGATAGATAGATAGATAGATAGATAGATAGATAGATAGATAGATAGATAGATAGATAGATAGATAGATAGATAGATAGATATGAGATAGATAGATAGATAGATAGATAGATAGATAGATAGATAGATAACCACGCACCGCCAATAAAATAAATAAACCTGCAGTACTTGAATAGGCGTGGCCTAGAATTTCAAATGACAACCACTAGATACCACTCCTTGCTCACAAACTGAAGTTAGCCTCAGTCATTAACAAGATGACATCTATGCGATAGAAGGCATTTTGTGTTCTCCAATTTAGCATGACGGAGTCTGTAATAACGGAGCAAAGTGTGTTTTGGGATTTGATCCACCAGTGGCAAAGAACATTCATCCTTGGTGTAAACAATTTGAAGAATCGGGGTAATTATGTAAGGGGAAGAGTACAGGGTGGCCACACACTTCACAGGAAAATGTGCAACAAATTCAAGAGGCTTTTCAGCTAAGCCCGCATAAATCCGCTCATTGTGCTAGGCGAGAACTTGTGATCCCTCTTACGTGTCAAGATGACGTTTTGCTCTCTGTGTAAGTGACAGAATAAAACGTTTACATTTCTGTCATATGCTCTTAGATGACACGGAGGATGACAGATTCTTACCATGGATGATTTTTAGTGGGGAGGTAATGTTTCATCTAAGTGGTAAAGTTTTGTGTCACGTCGTTTGCATATGGGGCCTTCAGAAGTCACACAAACTTGTACAACATGAGCGAGATTCTCCAAAAATGTGTTTTGTGCGACTTTGTTTATTATTGATTTATTTATTACAGATACTTATATAGCACCGCCATTTTACGCAGCGCTTTACATATTTATTGTACATTATGGGCAGCACAGTGGCTAAATGGTTAGCACGTCCTTTAGCATTTCAAGATACAAATGTCCCTGAAAGAAAGAAAGAAAGAAAAGAAAGAAAGAAAGAAAGAAAGAAAGAAAAGGCCATACACCTGTTGTAAACACTCCAAAGACATGCTGGTAGGTGAATTGGCTCCTGTCTAAATTGGCCCTAGTATGTGTATGTATGAATGTGAGTTAGGGACCTTAGATTGTACACCTCTTGAGGGTTAGGGACTGATGTGAACAGAGACGGACTGAACATTTGGAAACTCAGGCACTGCCCGAGGCCCGGGGTCAGTAGGGGGCCCCATGAGATGCCCCTGGTACCTTTTTCATAGGCTTTTTTGAGTTTGGGCAAGGACACAGAGGCCCCATGATTTCCTATTGCCCGGGGGCCCCATGAGTTGTCAGTCCGCCCCTGACGTCTGCTATAGGGCGGACAGAACTCTGAAAGTTTAATTTTTCACATTTACATTATGCACAACCAAGTTCATCAGTTTCTAAACGAAACATTGCCTCAACATTGGATAGGTTTCACAGGGCCCCAAGAGTTGGCACTATACTCTTGGCCCCCAAGATCACCAGACATTACACCCTGTGACTTTTTCTTGTGTGGATATGTTCCACCACTACCCCGCTGACTTGGATGAGTTTAAAAACAGAATTACAGTTGCTGTAACTTCTGCTGAAGAAGACTTTCAGACACTTTGGGAACAAATTCAGCTATCATCTTGATGTTATTCATGCAGCAAGTGGAGGGCGCATAAAGCATTTATAACATGCTGAGTGAAACTTGAAGACTTTTTCTTTATTAACCACTTGAGCTCCAGAGGATTTACCCCCCTTAATGACCAGGCCTCTTTTTGCTACTCGGCGCTGCACTAATTCAACTGATAATTGCACGGTCATGCAATGCTGCACCCAAACAAAATTTACGTCCTTTTTTTCACACAAATAGAGCTTTCTTTCGGTGTATTTGATCACCTGTGCGCTTTTTATTTTTCACGCTATAAACAAAAAAAGGCAAAAAATTTTGAAGAAAAACAATATTTTTTATTTTCAGCTATAAAAAATATATAGTAAACTCAAAGTTGGTTATAAATTTAGGCCAAAATGTATTCTGCTCCATGTTTTTGGTAAAAAAAATCCCAATAAGTGTATATTGATTGCTTTGTGTGACAGTTATAGCATCTACAAACTATGGTATAGATACTGCAATTTACGTCATTTTTCTGCTAAACAGCGCTGCACTAGTTTAACGGACAATTGCGCGGTCATGCAATAGGGTACATAAATGAAATTTACATCCTTTTTTTCCCCACAAATTGAGATTTTGTTTCGGTGGTATTTGATCGCCTGTGCAGTTTTTATTTTTTGCGCTATAAAAAAAAAGGTTGACAATTTTGAGGGAAAAAAAAAACAATATTTTGGACTTTTTGCTATAAAACATGTCCAG